GTGAGTCTTCCAGACTTGTTCTTCCTTTTCAAGATTGTTTTAGCTATTTTGGGTCCCCTGAGCTTCCATATGAATTTTAAAATGGATTTTTTCTATTTCTGCAAAAAAAAAAAAAAAAAAGATGATTGGGATTTTGATAGGGATTGCATTCATCAGTCAATCACTTTGGGTAGTGACATCTTAACAATATTAAATCTTCTAATCCATGAAGATTACACATGGTATGTGTTTCCATTTATTTATGTCTTATCTAATTTCTTTCAGCAATGTTTTATAGTTTATTGTACAAGTCTTTTACCTCTTTGGTTAATACCTAAGTATTCTTTTTGATGCTATTGTGAGTTGAACTGTTTTCATAATTTTCCTTTCAGATTATTCATTGCTAATGTACAGAAATGCAACTGATTTTTGTGTGCTGACTTTGTACCCTGCTACTTTGCTGAAATTGTTTATTATCTCTAACAGTTGTGGGGTTTTTTGTTTGTTTGTTTTGTTTTACAGAATCATTAAGGTTTTATATATATAAGATCCTATCATCTATGAATAGAGAGGATTTTACTTCTTCCTTTTCAATTTGCATGCTTTTTATTTCTTTTTCTTGCCTAATTGCTCTGGTTAGAACTTCCAGTACTATGTTTGAATAGAAGTGGCAAAAGTGGACACCCTCATCTTGTTCCTGTTCTTAGAGGAAATGTTCTCAGTCTTTCACTGCTGAATATATGTGGTGTTTGCTGTTTTTTTTTTTAATATATGGTTTTTATCATGTTGAGGTATGTTCCTTCTATTCCTAGTTTGTTGAGTGTTTTTATTATGTAAGGGTGTTGAATTTTGTCAAATGCCTTTTTTGCATCTATTGAGATGATCAAGTGGGTTTTTTCCCCTTTCATTCTGTTCATGTGGCATATTAATCAATTTTCACATGCTGAACCATCTTTGCATTCCAGGAATAAATCCCACTTGGTCATGGTGTATAATATTTTTAATATGCTGCTGAATTCTTTGTTAGTGTTTTGTTGAGGATTTTTGCATCAGTGTTCATCAGGGATATTGTTTGTAGTTTCATTTTGTAGTTGTTTTGTCTGCCTTTGTATCAGGGTAATACTGCCCTCATAGAATGAGTGAGAAGTCCCTCTTCTTCAATTTTTTGGAAAAGTTTGAGGATTGGCATTAGTTCTTTAAATGTTTGGCAGAATTCACCAGTGAAGTCATCAGGTCCAGAACTTTCCTTTCTGCGGAGATTGATTACTAATTCAACCTTCTTACTAGTTATACATAAATTTATTCAGATTTTCTATTTCTTTGATCCAGTCTTGGTAGGTTTTGTGTTTCTAGAAATTTGTCCATTTCATCTAGGTTATCCAACTTGTTGGCATAAAATTGTTCATGGTACTCATAATCCTTTTATTTCTGTAGACTCAGTAGTAATGTCCCCATTTTCATTTCTGATTTTAGTAAATCGAAACTTCTTCTTTTTTCGTTGGTCCATCCAGCTAAAGTTTTTCAATTTTGTTGATACATTTCAACAACTTTCATTAATCTTCTCTGTTGCTTTTCCACTCTCTGTTTTATTTCTGCTCTAATTTTTATTATTTCCTTCCTTCCGTTAACTTTGAGTTTAGTTTGTTCTTTTTCTAGTTCCTGAAGTTGTAAGATTAGAGTGCTGATTTAGGTCTTTCCAGTTTTTTAATATAGGCATTTATAGCTATAAATTTCTCCTTTGGCATTGCTTTTGCTGCATCCCATAGGTTTTGGTATGTCGTGTTTTCATTTTCATTTGTCTTGAAGTATTTTCTGATTTCCCTTGTGATTTCTTTGATCCATTGGTCGTTTGTACTGTTTTTCACAAATCTGTGATTTTTCCATTTTCCTTCTGTTATTGATTTCTAACTTTATCCCATCAGGTTGGAGAGGACACTTTGTATGAAATCTATCTTTTAGAATCTGTTGAGACTTGTGGCCTAACATATAGTCTGTCCTGGAAAATGTCCCATGTGCACTTCAGAAGCATGTATATGCTGCTACTATTGGATAGAGTGCTCTGTGTATGTCTGTTAGATTTAGTTGGTTTATTGTGTTAAATCCTCTGTTTCCTTACTTATCTTCTGTCTGGTCGTTCTGTCCATTATTGAGAGTGGGTTATTGAGGTCACCAGCTATAATTGTAGAACTGTCTGTTTCTCTGTTCAATTCTGTAAGTTTTTGCTTTCTATTTTTTGATAATTATTATTAGGTGTATAAATGTTTATAACTGTTATATCTTCTTCCTGTATTGAAACTTTCATTAAAATATATTTTGTCTGATATCGTATAGCCACTCCTCTTTTGGTTACTACTTGCATGGAATATCTTTTTCCATACTTTCACTTTAAATCTATTTGTGGTTTTAGATCTAAAGTGAATCTCTTTTAAGACAAAATATAGTTGGATCATGTGTTTTTATTCATTCTGCCAATCTTTGTCTTGGTTGGAAAGTTTAATCCATTTAAATTTAATTACTGATAAGGAGGGACTTATTCTGTCATTGCTATTCATTTTCTATATGCCTTCTAGCTTTTTTGTCCCTTATTCCATGCATTGCTGTCTTTGGTGTTTAGTTTTTCGCATGAACTGTTCCTTTCCATCTCCTTCTGTGTATATTCTATAGCTGTTTTCTTTGTGATTACCACGAGGATTACATTTAACAACCTAAAGTTACTTTGAATAATGATTTGAATTTACATCAGCTTAACTTTAGTAACAAAAAAATCCCTGCTCCTTTACAGCTCCATCCCCACCCCTTTATACATCTTTGTACATTGTGTGCTCCCAAACATAAATAATTTTTTTAAATGCATTAGTCTCTTAAATTATGAAGAAAACAAAATGTGGAGTTACAAACCAAAGTTACAAGTAATACCGGCTTTTAGACTAGCTTGTCAGTTGGGCTTGACTAGGGCTGGGTTTTTGCCAAGCAAGTGTGAAAGAGGGGCAGGGGACTCACGGATGTCCCCGAAGGGAGCGATGATCGTCATAGCCCACAGAACCAGCACTGGGATGGGGTGCTTGGCAAGAGTATGGAAGGAGGACAGGTTTTTAAAAGTGACAGATTGCAGGCCTGAAAAATTTGAACAGTTGTTGCTGTGAGGGCACTAGAGCAAAGTGTTGGGGAGACAGAGTGGATCAGAGCAGAGAATCTGATGTCAAGATTATAGAGGTGGTGCAGTGATGGCCGCCGCGTTGGTCTAGAAGAGCTGCAAGTGGCACAGAGGAATAGCCTCTGGAGAGGAAGAAGCTCAGAGAAGCGAGATGCGGGGTGTGGCTGGAGGGGATGGAGGGGCCCCTGATGAGTGAGGCGTTAATCATCAGTGAGTGAGAAGCAGCTCCGAGGTCAATATACAAGTCCAAGCGTAGGCATAGAGAGTGTTACAGGTGAATGGCATAAGCGTCAAAGGAATTGATGTTTTTAAGGAGGCAAAGTGGTTTGAAGCAGGGAAATTGAGAATTGGGAATATGGATTGAGGGAGAATAAAAAAGACAGCCTTTCCTTGGGGGAGCTCGAGTGAATAGGGCCCTTGGGAGATAGCCATGCTTGGAGATGGCTGGGAAGCTGGGAGGAGAGGTTGAGGATTATCGGGGAGCTTGTTCCGTACTGGGAGCGAGGGAGGGGAGACCAGAACAGATTAGAGTGTGGCCAAGACAGTCCAGGCTGTGGGCACGGTGGAAACAGTCCTCTGTTTCTTTTCTTTTTTTTTTAATATCTTTATTGGGGTCCTCTGTTTCTTTTCTACCTTGAGGCTGGGGGACCTCGGGACAGCACTCAACCTGCGTGTAATTTTCTCATATGTTCAAATACAGGATACACTGGGTTGGCATAGGGTTAAGTAACCTGGAGGCTGTAGAGCACAGGACGCAGTGCGATTCATGAATGTGCCCTCAAAATCCAGAGCTGGTCCCACCCCTTCTCCTGCTTTATCAGCCCTGGAGTGCCCTTCCACAGCTGGGCTCAGTAGTCTGCAGTGCACCCTTCGTGGGGCCCTGAGCAGAACCTCCCCAGGATCTGCGGGTATGACTTTTACATACTGACTTTATGCCTAGGCTCTTATCATCCTGGTTAAAAAGGTTAAGTACCTTGCTATAGGGTATGGATTTTTAAGCCAATGTAAATTTGGGGTAGGGAGCAGGGGAGAGTGTAGTATTTCTTTCTCATCCTTTAGGTCACAGCTTACATGTCACATCTGCCAAGAGAACCCCTTGGTCTAGCCTCATGGTTCTCAAGGGGGGACCATTCCTCACTCCGGGGATGTGTGGTCACATCTGGAGACATTTCTGGTTGTCAGTACGGAAAGGGTTCTAGGGGCATTTAGTGCTTAGAGGCCAGGGCTGCTGACCATCTTACAGTGACAGGACAGTTCCCTTGACACAGAATTGTCCAGCCCCAAATGTCAGCAGTGCCGAGGGTGAGAAAGCCTGGCCTGGACTATTTACAGGAGATCCTTTCTCCAAGCCCTGCTTATTCCTTCATGGCACTTACCGTGGTCTGTAATTACCTGGATGGCTGAGTTTAAGAAGTGTGTATGTGTATAGACAGACAGATGGACGGAGAGATAGATAGGAAGAAATATACATATAATTGTCCATCTGCCTTACTTGGAATGTGAGTCCAAAATGGCAGGGGTCTTTTCTGTCTTGGTCACTGCTGCATGCCCAGTGCCTCGCGTGATGGTATATAGCAGGTGCCCGATAACTGTCTGAGTGAATAGGAGGGGCTTTTTTCTTCTGTATAGAATTTTGATTCTACATCTCCAATTAATACAGACCTGCCTAGTAACTCAAAATAGGATTTTGCTCCACTTCAAATACAAGTGATGTTCGTCCAATCAAATCCTGTTGTTCAGGATAACATGTGCAATGGTGAAGGACCTTTCTGGACGTTTTTATAACATGTATATTGAAAGTTCACCTAATCCCCAACTGCTGAAAAAAGAATGGACACAAAGAATCAGAGAGACCATAAACCGAGTATCTAATTTAGAAAATGTCACTGTTTTAATGTTGTCAGTTGTAAAGAGGTGTGTCTTAACCAGATTGTAACAAAATTACCACAGCTTATTCCAAAAGAAAATTTTAATACAAGAGATTTTAGAAAATTAAACACGTTTGTTTAAAAATTCTATTGTGTAAACCTTAACAGAATAGGGTAGTTAAGATAATACTATGTGTTTCAGAGCGAATCCGCGGGCTTCTAGGCCTCACATCCAGACACTAGACTCTAGATTTTTCGCCTTGTTCCCTGCGACAGACGGCTCACTGGGACCCGATCGTGGGTGACGGGTGGGTCACCATGGCACGTGTAGTCAGAAGACTCCCTCCTCCAAGAAGTCAGCATGTGATGAGTTAAGCAAAGTGTTCTACCACATGTTGATGCCAGGGATGGTGCCACCAAGGCTGCAGAGGCAAAGACATTCTTTCTAGGATGAATCCTAGATAATAAAAAATCCACCACCCCCTCACTCCTGGCTATGCCTGTTCTCCAGCTCATCTCTGGAGGGGCTAGCAACTCTGGGTGCAAACGTGTGATCCCCCATTTTGTAACCTTCCATGTCCTCAGTCCCAGTTTTTGCAAGGGCGTCCCCTTGTATGGTCTCAGGTGATGGTGGAAAGAATCGTCGGAGGTGCATGGCTTCTTCCCTTGCAGTTCATGAAGGCAGGAGGCAGACCTGATGGGATTCGAGGGCAGGCGGGGAGCCTGGGCGGGTCAGCTAGTGGTTTTCAGTGATGATGGCAAAACATTTATGTGCCAGTAAGAACTGAATCCCTGGACCTCGAAACACTCATGGATCCAGCTTGTCCTTAGAGTGGGGTTGCTCATCCTTGCTATAGCCTCAACCATCTTTTAGAGAAACCAGATTTTTTTTTCCACTTCTCTTCCTAAACTGATTGGGTAGATAAGGAAACCCATTTAATGCAGTTATTAGGATTCAGAGATGAAAGTAAGGGCTCCTTAACAGACTTGAGAACTACCCATCCAGGCAACGGGCATGGTGGAAGGGAAGGTCAGAAATCCCGCCACGAACTGGGCAGGGGTGTTTCAGTCACTGTGGGATGAGCCGACAGCTGCTCTGCTCAGAGCACGGAGATCGGAAAGGCTCCACCCTCACTTCTATCGATCCAGTAGCCGAAGTTTTATTTTGGAAACGTAATCAAGACCACGTGTTAGGGAAACATGAAAAATGAATTTTTTGGCATGGGAATGTTAGATAAAATATACAGTGCTACAATTGTGCAAAATTAGCACAGAAGCCAATCTGAACAGCAAACATTTAATGTTAGCTTTAATGAAACAATACACAATATTGTGAAAAATGATCGTTGCAAAAGGCCTTGCTCGTGAGCAGATGCCTGCGTGCCAGAAGCGCCCAGCCTGGGGGAAGGTCCAGTGCAGGTGGCAGTGTCCCGAGGGAAACACCGAGACAGGGTCAAGGTAGTTATTGCCTTTGGGGTTGAAGCTTGAGCAGGGCGTGCTCCTTCTAGGATGCCTCTTAGCCGATCTGATGCTCCCAGGCAGGCTCCTTCTCTGCAGGTCCTGGGGGATGCCCACGCAGCTTGAGGCTGAGAATCCAGCCTGTTCTTTACTGTCAGTGACACGCCCAGGCGAGGTGCCCCCTTTGGGGGAGAGCACCTCCCATGAATGGGCGCTGGTACCAACTTGCCAGGCTGAGGGATGAAGGAAGGATGCCAGACGTGACTGGTTAGGGAGGTCTGCCGGGGCCCGAGGTCAGGGCCTGGCCTCCAGGTGAGGGGGCCAGCTGGTGGCACCCCCTGTGAGGGTGAGCAGGTGGTGTGGGGGACCAAGGCCTGAAACCCTGTGACCTGGTCCTCCAGTGGACAAACTGTGTCCTGAGGAAATAGGAGAAAAAGCGGAGGGAAGGCCACTGGCTCGCCCGGGCCGCAGAGCCCTAGTTCAGGGCGTTAGGAGTGCTTCGGATCAACTGGGCTGGCGGGTGGGTCTTCACTCCTGTTTCCTGATTCTGAGCCCAAAACCTGGGGATTAATTCTTGGGCCTCCAGTGCCTGCTGCCTCTGGGCGTTAGCTGCATCTGTTATCAATCCCACGGACAGACTTAAACAGCTTTGATTGCCTCTGTTGTTTTAAAGGCACAGCACAGCCTGTAAAATCCAGCGGTTATCAAAGAACGCATCTCAGTAGGCCCCACGCTGTGTGACCAGACCTTGTCCACAAACACTGGTCCGCGTCCCTCCGCCTCACCCTTCACGCCCTTGCCAGGTCTCACAAGACGGTACTGTCTCTACAGCTCAATCAGGTGATGCCTTTTGTAGCCACGAAGCCCTTGGATGGGCCTGGTGACGCTGTTAAAGGCGACCACCGCGGGGTTTAACAGCCTTTTCCAGGAAAGCCGCCGCCTCCCCCAGGGCCTGACTGTGGAGAGAGGCTGGGTTGTTTCAAGCCAGGATTCCAGACCAGCTGCACTAGGAGCTGGGAAAGCTCGCTTCTGGGCGAGGTTTACACCAGCCTCGGACCGCCCTTCTGGGAGCTTTGGTTTTCTCTATTAAGGAGAGATGTCTCTACCCAGCCCTGCTTTTCCTGGGTCTCCTTTATCTGGGGGAAAAGGAGGGAGCAAACAAGATGATGGCAGAGATGGACCCGGCTGATGCTGCGGCCCATTCTGGCTGAAGCCGCCCCTGAGCAGACAGCCTGGCTTTGCAGAGGGGACCTGGAGGGGCCTCTCCCTCCCCGTACAGGTGGGGTACCAGAGGGTCAAGGCCGTCTTGAGAGACGGGCCCTTCAGTTCCTTTCAGAATGGGGGGTGGCTTCCTCTCTCAGACGCCGACTTTGGAGGCTCCAAACAATCTTCTAATTTGATCAAGGAGAGAGAAGCAATGCCAGCTGCTCCTTTCTGAAGGGCTGCCTTTCCCCGCGATGGGTCCCAGGGGATCTCCCACCCTCTGAATTGGAGGTGGATTGATGGGCAGATGACGACACATCCTCAGGGGCTGGCATTTGTCCTGGATCTCGGTGTTTTATTCTTTCTCTAGGAGCTGGGGAGTCTGCCCCTTCTAAGTCCATCCCGCCACCCTGGAGAGCAGGGCAGGAGTATTTTGAGCAGGTGGATGGACTAATCACTGCAGAACATTCCATGTGATTCCGAAGTTAAGGCTTTGAGGAGGTGCTGTAATGTGCATGTCACATGCATGTCTGAGCTGAAATCAAAGCAGTTGAAGATCAGGGTTTCTGCAGGATCACGAAAACGGAGGTACAGAGAGCAAGCAGCCTGGAGGGTCCCCGTGGGTCCCCCAGGAACATGCTTTTTACAATCCACATTTTGGGAGAACAGGGCAAGTTTTCCATGAATAATTAAGCTTTAAAAAGTGGGGAGGCAGGGCTTCCCTGGTGGCGCAGTGGTTGAGAGTCTGCCTGCCGATGCAGGGGACGTGGGTTCGTGCCCCGGTCTGGGAAGATCCCACATGCCGCGGAGCGGCTGGGCCCGTGAGCCATGGCCGCTGAGCCTGTGTGTCCGGAGCCTGTGCTCCGCAGTGGGAGAGGCTACAACAGTGAGAGGCCCGCGTACAGGGGAAAAAAAAAAAAATGGGGAGGCAGAGTTTCTCCTTTTTAAATATGGGCTGCGAGTGCATTTGTATCTCCCAGCTCAGCATCTGTCCGCCGTAGCTATGGATGCCTTTTTTTTTGGCTCTTTTTTTAAACTCCGTGCACAGAATGTCAAAGCTGGCTCCTGGTGGGGTGGCTGGAGAAGGCGAGACCAGAGTTGCACTCAGATGTGTTTCGGGTCAGGCGCCAGAAAAGGCTGGCTGATCGGAACCCTTGGCCCTGGGGGGTGTCGGGGCAGTGGTTCCATTCTGGGTCTAGTACAACCGGAGAGGAGACACCTTGGGAACAGATCCGGCTGTGCAGCCTGTCAGCTGGCGTCAAACTGACTGCTGTGGAGGGACCCAAATGCGGGGGGCTGGGATCTGGGGCAGCTGGAGCTTCCAGACAGTCCTGGAGGACCTGGTCGAGGAGGGCTCTGTGTTGAAGGCAGCGCTGTGGGACTTGGGATTCCAACAAAGTGCACGTGCAGTGGCTCCGTCGGCACACACGCGGAAGAGAGAAACCACGTTGCCTTTCTAGGACACAGGGTCCCTCGGGTCCTCTGACCCCCACGAGCTGACAGCAGGGCCCCCAGACACTCCCCACTCCATCTGCGGAGAACAGCCGGCTTGTTTCGCTCACCTGGACCTGGCTCACCTGGCAGAATGTTCCCTCAGAAGTCACTCGGGCCTCCTCCGAGCCTCTGGAGGGCTGTGCGTAGATGATCTCAGCTCTGCTTAACGGCTCTGATGAGTTTCCTTTTGGCTGATGGGAGGAACACGCAACACAAACCTTCCAGGCCATTCCTTCCTGAGTTTTCCGCTATCTAGGAAATGCTCAATGATTACCCACACCGCTCACCCAGTTGTAAGCTGATGGTGGTTAGCCTTCTACCGACCATCTTTCACACACATTGATACCGGCTGTCGTCCCCAGAAAATGCCTCTCTTTGTATCAGCCGCTGAGGACGGCTCTTGCCCAGGGTGGGAGAAGGTTCCATGATTCTGGATGTTAAAGCTGGCTAAATGGCTCTGGTCCCATGGGGCGAGCGGCCAGGGGGGCCCCCGCTCTGAATGGGAGGAGCAGAGGGATTGGTCTCGGGCACACAGGGCCCTGCTCCCGCTGAGAACATGCTGGCTGACAGAGGCTGTGTTGCACACCCTCGTCTTTAGGGGATGATCATGATCTGTGCAGAGTGGACACTTGTGTCCAAGTTCACAGCCACGCTGAGCGCCTGGGAGCTCCGGGGCCAGGTCTGAAAGCCCGAGGTCCACAGAACCTTCTGGAATGCTTCCCGGAGCTGAGTCTCTAACAGCCTGAGGGCTCTCCTCTAGGCTTTCGAGGCCAAGGCCACCGACTCCTGGATAGCCCAGAGCTCTCCAATACAGGTCACTGGGTTGCTGCTGCTGGCTGGCCTGACCAGGTGCACATGGGCCTAGGGGGCCTCAGGTTTCCTAAAGGGGCTGGTCCTTCCAGAACCAACCATAAGGAGGTAGGGAAGTTCTCCAAGAACCACAGTTCCACATCCCTCTAACGGCTCCTTCACACGAAGGCCACGGGACTGTCTCCCTGGAGCACGGTGGCAAGAACTAGGGTGTCTACTGACCACTGGTGGGGAGTGCATGGGAAGGAACTAGCCTCCCTCCAAACCCTTCACGTCCATAGGTAGTAACAGGCAATTACATTAAACAGGGGGAAAAAAACCCCAAACCAGTCATTCAAATTCCCACATGGGCAAGAGTTAAGAGGGGGTTTCTCAATGAACCTTCTGACCAACTGAGACATCAGACTCGTGCATCTCAACCAGGGGGCTCCGAGCCCGATCCAGTGCCCACCCTCCTGCTGGCCCTTGAGCTGGAGGGAGGGGAACGGCTGGCCCTCATGGCCCAGGGCAGGGCCCGGGGAGAGCAGGGCCCACATGTCTGCGTCTGTCCTGCGAGGAGCTGCCCTGTTCTCACACGGCCCAGTTTAATCAGGGTGTCACGGGACCAGCGGGGAAGGTGTGCTCTCTGGGGTTCACCGGGGGGACAGGGTTGTCCCTCCGAGGTGGAAGGGGCCAGCTGCCGTGGCCTGGGTGGAGGCAGCTGGCGCAGCACGTAGGGCCCGAGTCTGGGTGGCCATTGAGGTCAGAGGTCGCCGCTCTGGGGCTCCACGTTGCGCGTCTCCCTGGGGTGACCTCGGGACAGCTTGGGGAAGCGGGAAGCCACTTTGGGCCGGCTGTTCTTGGTCAGCGGTTCTCCAGGAGGGGTGACGTCACTGTAAGACACAGCGGGGAGAATCGGGTTAAGTCAGGGTTCCAAGTGCAAATAGCTACAGGCAGGGCAGCAGGGGCTGGGGGTGGGGTGGGCAGTGGGAGTGGCCTCCAGGGCATGGCTGCTGCCTGGCTGGGTGGCAAGAGCGGCGTGGAGAAATGGGGAGGGGCGTCCACGTTGTCGTGTGAACTTCCTGTCCGTCAACAGCGCCCAGCACAGCTCTGGGGCCGCAGCTCTGGACCCGCTTTTAAGTCAACGAAAGACGGTTCTGGCCCCGGCTGTCTTCTCACCGTCTTCATTGATCTTCCAGCAAAGGCGCATTTCAATCCAAGAAAGAAAATGCTTGGGCGAACACTGCATTTAAAGTCATAAAAGATGCACAAACACAGGAGAGGGAATTATGCCTGCCAAGGTCCAATTGTAAGGGCGTTTACGACAGCAGTATGTAAAAGAGTCAAAGATACGGAACAACTTGTGCGTCCAATGCAAGCATCACTGATACTGGATATACTGGTGAAAAAGCACCTGTAACCGCGAGACAGCAGCAGCCGGTACGCACAGGGGCACGGGAGTGCGTTTATGAGCCCGTAAGGGCGTATGATTCCAACACAGGTTAAAGCACAGTAGGGAGGCTGTAACCCCGCCGTGTACAGAAAACACCTGAAGGATACATTTGTTTACTCCGTGAATCTTGGCGCATCCACGTGGGCCGAGCACTGTGCAAGGTACTGGGGATAAATGGTGAACAAAACGGATTCTCTCAGGACCCGTGGAGCTCATAGTCCGAAGGAGGGTTAAAAACATCACACGTTCAAAGACTTAGGTTACAAATGCCACCAGCGCCTCCCTGAGCAGGGAGCCTGGGGCATGGCAGGAAGTGCCCGAGAGTGGGTGTAGGGGGCCAGCCTGGGTGAAGCTTGGGGCCAGGAGGCTCTGGGCACCTGGAGCACGGGGGGAGGCAGAGAGGGAGCAGCTGGAGGGTGAAGGGCATCTGCTGGAGGGCCCTCGGTGGCGGGGGCTCCATGATCTGGTTGCACTTGTAAGTACCCGATGCCAAGGCCTCTGCTCCAGGCACGTGCAGAAGCCTGGGCTGGGGCTGTGAATGCAGAGGTGATAGACTCTGTCTTATTCCCCACGGCTGCTGTAACACATTACCACACACGTGGTGGCTTAAAACAACATGCTGTGCTGTCTTACAGTTCTGGAGGCCAGAAGTCCCAAATGGGTCTTATGAGGCTACATTCAAGGTGTACCTCCTGGAAGCTCTAAGGCAGAATCCTTCCTGGCCCCTCCCAGCCCCTGCAGGCCACCTGCTTGCCTCGGCTCGTGGCCCCTGCCTCCATCTTCAAAGCCAACAGGGCAGCATCTTCAACTCTCTTTCCCTCTGACCCTCCTGCCTCCTTCTTATAAAGACCTTTGTGATCACATTGGACCCACCTGGATATCTCCCCTCTGCCCCAATCCTTAAATCTACTGAGTCCCCTTTGCCATGTAAGGGGACACATTTATAGGTTCCAGGGGTTAGGGTGCAGAATTTGGGGGGGGGTGTCATTTTGTCTACCACAGACTGAAATTTGAATAGAAAGTAGAATCAACACGACTTGGTAATGGAATAATAACTGCCTCTAAATGGTGAGATCACAGCTGACAAAATATAAAAGAGAAATAAGAGAAAACGTTGATAATAAATATCTCACTGATACAAAATGCTTTCAAAAAACAAAGATTAAAGGTTGTTCGCACATCCCGACTGTCTCTGTGGCATCAGGCTCTGTGCCAAGGGCTTTCCGGGCGCAAGTCCTAGAGGACTCTGCAAGGGAAGACAGAGCCCAGCTAGAGCTGAGCCCCGAGGCTCAGGGAGGACACAGCCACCAGCTAGTAAGTGGCAGATCCAGGATCACCACCAGCTGTCTCCAGGCGCAGTCCAGATAAGCAAAGGAATGGATCATATCCAAAGAGGAATGGTCCCCGCAGGGGTCCCTGAAATGGCCACTTCACGCCTTTTCAGGGACCCAGACACTGTGCTCAGTGAGATGTCCCTCATTTCCCATTTGGGACATCTCAGTAAGGTAATAAAGTGAAAAATCCTTCTAATTACCACCTTCTCCCATGGGAGCCAGGGTGTGCTTATCTTCTGTACATGGAGGGAAGAGAAGCATCTGACCTTGAACAAAGCTGGAGCTGCTCCAAATCCTCTGGGTACATCCTTCAGAATGACACTGGCCACGGGCCCAAAGCCGTCACGGCCCTCTCTTCTTCCCAAACGCATTACCAAAAGCCTCTCTATCCCCGAACGCCGCTTAGAGGATGGGCAGACGATGCTGGAAGGAATCTTTGCCCCCCTGGGAGGGGCTGTTGATTACAAGTGTGCAGGTGGGCTCAGGTGTAAAGGTCATTGTAAACCACTGGCCTCCCCTCACACTGTCCGGGGTCAGGGGTCCAGCCAGTTGCCCCTGTGCCTGTGGCTGCTGTCATCACTGGGCATGATGTGTGAGGCCAGGAGGACCTCTGCCCACAGTGACCAGAGCCCGTGGTCCCCAGAGCTGGCTCCTGGGAGGGCCCGGGAGAGGCGGGAGGCTGGCTGGCGCGAGGGGACAGTTACGAGACAGCGGGGCCAGGACTCTGGTATTTTATTTCGTTTCACCAAAGGCACCTGTGTTGGTAGTAGCGCAGCGGGTGAGGGCGGGGCCTCTGAGCCAGGACACCCTCGGGTCCCCCGCCAACGGGCTCTGCTCGCTGCCCTTGAGCCTTGTGCCCTGGGCTGCCTGCCACATGGGGATGATGATCGCTTGGCCCTCACAGCGCTGTGGCAACGGCGGGAGAGTTCACCCCACGCGGAGCCGCTAACCAGCTGCGTTTCCTTAGGCAAGTGTCTTGCTGGCTTTGAGCCAAGGCTTCTAGGGTAGAATAAGTATTTATCCAAAAGAACAGACATCAGGATCTGGAAGAAATCTCTCTGCACCCCCATGTTCACCGCAGCACTCTTCACAACAGGGAAGATGTGCAAATAACCTAATCTCCGTGAATGGATAAAAAATGTGGTCCATCCATACAATGGAATATTCAAGCCTTTAAAAAAAAGAGGAAATTCTGACATATGTGAAAACATGGATGAATGCTGAGGACACTATGCTAGGTGAAATAAGCCAGTTACAAGGACAGCTACTGTATGATTCCACTTATATGAGGCATCTGAAATAGTCAAACTTGGAGAACCGAAGCCTGGAATGGTGGTTAGTAGAGGCAGGGGGAGGGGCACGTAGGGAGTTACCAACTGACAGGCACAATGTTGCAGTTAAATAAGATGAATAAGTTCTAAACTCAAAATGGATTAAGGACCTAAATGTAAGACTAGATACTATAAAACTCCTAGAGGAAAACAGGCAGAACAGTCTTTGACATAAATCGCAGCAATATCTTTTGGGATCCACCTCCTAGAATAATCAAAATAAAAACAAACAACTGGGACCTAATTAAACTTCAAAGCTTTTGCACAGCAAAGGAAACCATAAACAAAATGAAAAGACAACTCACAGAATGGGAGAAAATATCTACAAATGAAGCAACCAACAAAGGATTAATCTCCAAAATTTACAAACAGCTAGCTCATGCAGCTCTGTCAAAAAACAAAAACCCAATCCAAAAATGGGCAGAAGACCTAAACAGACATTTCTCCAAAGAAGATATACAGATGGCCAAAAAGCACATGAAAAGAGGCTCAACAATGCTAATGATTAGAGAAACGCAATTCAAAACTACAATGAGGTATCACCTCACACTGGTCAGAACGGCCATCACCAAAAAGCCTACAAACGATAAATGCTGGAGACCCTCCTACACTGTTGGTGGGAATGTAAACTGGTACAACCACAATGGAGGACAGTATGGATGTTCCTTAGAAAACTAAAAACAGAACTACCATATGATCTAGCAATCCCACTCCTGGGCATATATCCAGAGAAAGCCATAATTCAAAAAGACACACGCACCCCAATGTTCACTGCAGCACTGTTTACAATAGCCAAGACATGGAAGCAACCTAAATGTCCATCGACAGAGGAATGTTTAAAGAAGATGTGGTACATATACACAATGGAATAGTAGCCATAAAAAAGAACGAAATAATGCCATTTGCAGCAACATGGATGGACCTAGAGATTATCATACTAAGTGAAGTAGGTCAGACAGAGAAAGACAAATACCGTGTGATATCACTTCTATGTGGAACGTAAAAGAAATGATACAAATGAACTTATTTACAACAGAAACAGACTTGGAAAACAAACTTTGGTTACCAAAGGGGAAATGTTGGGGGGGAGGGATAAATTAGCAGGTTGGGATTAGCAGATACACACTACTATTGGATTGGCCAAAAGGTTCCTTCGGTTTTTTTCTGTAAGATGGCTCTAGTAGCACTTAGTTGTCTTTAACTTCATTCAAAACAATTTTGTTAGATTGTATGTGACAGCTGTCATATCAGCGTGCACTTAAAAATGAAGACTTATCAAAATTGGTGAATTTTTGTGTAGCCATTTTAATATTGAAGGTGGAAGAAAACAACATTTTCAGCATATTATGCTTTATTATCTCAAAGGTTAAAACGCAACTGAAATGCAAAAGCAGATTTGTGCAGTGTATGGAGAAGGTGCTGTGACTGATGAAACGTGTCAAAAGTGGGTTGCGAAGTTTTGTGCTGGAGATTTCTCACTGGATGATGCTCCACGGTTGGGTAGACCAGTTGAAGTTGAGAGCGATCAAATCAAGACATTAATTGAGAACAATCAACGTTATACCACGCAAGAGATGGCCAACATACTCGAAATACCCAAATCAAGCGTTGAAAATCATTTGCACCAGCTTGGTTATGTTCATCGCTTTGATGTTTGGGTTCCACGTAAGTTCAGTGAAAAAAAACCTTCTTGACCTATTTCCACAAGCAATTCTCTACTGAAACGTAAAGACGTTCCATTTTTAAAACAAATTGTGACAGGCGGTGAAAAGTGG